GAGTGCCTCTGATGGAATGCTCGTCAATGACCATTTTTCTGCCCTGCAGACACTACTGAATATGGGCTCGCTCTGCTTTCGCTGAGTTTGCCCACAATTTCAGAGTGAAAATAGACTGCTTCAAGATCTTCCTCGGTCAGAGATTTGATGTATCTAAGAATGACCTGGACCTCCAGTTCTGCTTTCTATTTGACGTGGCATACTCATTTTATTTGAAATGGCCATTTGTTTTCACATAAACGGCACAGAATGAGTTTTACTTTTGGTTACTTGGACATTGCCTTCTCATGATGGGGAAGGGAGATAAGCTCTCATCACCGAAGACATTTAGCGTTAGACTGTTAGGCTGATGGGTTGGAATTTAGTGAAAATCTGAGGTGTTGAAGAGTCACTCATTAAAATAACCCTGTTACTAACAGTCATGCTGTAAACCAAGCTCTTTATAGATTGAACAATCAATACTACAAGGCTGTGATAGATTTTCTAGGTAACAGAATAAAATAAAAGAAATTACATCTTCCAGGGTCATTAACACTCAATAAGGATAAACTGAATTTTGTTTTTTCCCCTCTTCTGATACGATCTAGTTGGGTTTTAAAAACATTAGCAGTTCCGTCAGTGGAAAGCTCCACATTCTAGGAACAGGATCCTTGGAATGGTGGAGAAAAGTGTGTGGATTTTAAAGGTAATCCTGCTGGCCACAGCATATTTTAAGAGAAAAGGTTTTTTTTTTTTTCTCCCTTAAAAGGCATGTGACACCTGAGAAAAACTAAGAGAACCAAACTTGTATAGCTTGCCTATTACATAAGAATTCACACTGTCTTAGAGCTCCTGCCTTTTATACACCTTCACTGGGGCTGCCTACCATGGTCTCGGACCTCTGTATTTTACTGTTATAATGCTAATTGATAATTTTTGGATGTTACATATTTGTCGTTCCTTCAGAAAAAGACACTGTATAAATTTAATAAGTAAGTAAACACAAATAATAAAAATTCCTGCCTCAGATTCTGCAGAGAGAGCGAAAAGTCCTCTGTTTTCTCATCACTAAGTCACCAATCATTGTAACTGGTGGGAAGTATAAACCATGGAAACATATGCAGAGCTCACTACACTTTAACAGCACCTATTCTGGAGGCAGGAAACACGAGGAACAAAAGCTTTTTTTTTTTTTTTTAAACTTACTTGAATTATAGCTGCTGGAACAGTTAAGAAATAAATCTCCCCTTACTCCCTAGATAAAACTTTAGGAAGAGAGGCGGAAAGAGGAAATGAGATGAGGGAAGAGTCTGAAACTGAATTTTAGACTTTTGCCAGAAGACTTCTGCTTCCTGAATGGAGTTGAATATAATGTGGGCTATAGGAAGCTTCCAGTTATTCCATCCAAGCTGTCTACATGAAGTGTTTCTTTCCTGCACCAATAATGGAAGTTGGTTGAGCAAAGACATATGTGGGACATGGGTTGGTCAGGAAACAGATTTTCTGCTGGAAGTCCATAGAACAAGTGGAAAACAGTAGAAAATACGTTTCAGAATGGACTCGATCACATGAGGTAGTTACTTGAAGCTACACTAACACTCTTGCTTCATATTCCCCTCTGCTCTTTCTTTCTCTCCTGCTTTGGCACATGACTCTTTGCTGTCTTTTCTCTCCCCTGGGAGAAGTTAGGCATTTATGAAGATGGGCCCTTCACTAAACCTGTTACATATTGGCTTCCCATAGAGAATGAACCAGGAAAAGGGGCTTTGCTGAGTGGATAAAGAAGAGGAGAAAAGGCACAAGAAAAGGAAGAGAGAGGAGAATGTGAAAAGGTAGGAATAGAGAAATGGAGAGGTAGCAGAGAGAGGAAGAAGGAAATAACTCCGAGGCTTAACACTTTCATAGAATCAATAAGAAAAAATCAGCTATTATCTAAATCAGCCACAATTCAGGCTCTGCTGATGAAATGAATGTCCTTGAAAGGTGGTCCTTGCAACACACATTTCTTTACTGACAACGACAGAATAGGTCTTTGGTCCACTTAAGGAGGCTTTAGAAGGGCACCTGACCTCAGAAAGGATGGGCTCACTAACAGCCTGAAGCGTGGTTAACAGTCAGGGATGAATAAGATGTAATTTTGTATTCAACAAAACTGTTACATATTCATTTCCAGACATGCCTGGAACTAAACCAGGCCATCAGTAGTCAGCATCAGCAAGCCATTCTATCCTTCACCCCACGTTCACTTTTCAGATCTGACATATTTCCATTCCCCTCTGAACTTGCAATCTCCGGGCCTCTCAGAGAGGAGACATTTCCATTCTTCCCATTCTCAATCCTCTGATCTCTTAGAGATGAGGCAATTCTATTTCCCCTGTACTGATTTCAGAACTACTGATAGGAAAAAATAAATATCTGGTTTGGCTTTCCACCCTCTCTAGGATAAATCTTAGCTGTTCTGGGAACATTAATTGAAGCGAATGGGTGGCTGCTTTTAAAGTTAAGATATTTCCCTATCCAGTCAACTTATTTGGGGCTTTTAAGGTCAGCACACTGGTATTCTTCTAATTAGCAAGTCCTGTAATGTAAGGAAGGTGCTTTTTCCTGCTCCAATGTCCTACCCGGTGCCGGTACCTGTACGAAGCTCTCATACCTCCTTTTTGTTGAGTGCCACTCTCATCGTCTTGTAGATCATGCTCTTCATCTGAGGGGATAAAGATGATCAGCATTAGCAAACAGCCTGTGTTCTTTATACTGACTGGCAGGTCTTCTTCCTCTGAACTCATCATGCTCTCTTCTTTAAGAAAATAATGTTCTTTTTAAAAAAATCATCTCTCACCTTCAAACTGGTCCTCCCCTCTCTTCCTCCCCATTTATTCACAAACATTTTAAAGTGCTTACTACATGCAAGTCGCTGCACTAGGAACTGGAGATGCAGCAATGGGTAAGACTGGCAGGATCCTTGCCCTCCTGGAGCTTCCAATCCACTGGGTAATTTAGGTGCCCTAAGGCAAAATCATAATCATTTCCTCTCCCTTTCTAGAATTCAAAATGTGTTATCTAGATACTTAAATGTATCTAGGTACATTTAGTGTGTGTGTGTGTGTGTGTGTGTGTGTCCTAGATACATTTAAGTATCTAGAGTTAGTGTGTGTGTGTGTGTGTGTGTATGTGTGTGTGCATACATTTAAACCCTCTGTGATTAATTATCAAGCTTTGTTCAACTGTATCAAGCTTTGTTCAACTGTAACAGAAGCTAGTCATGTACATAATTTTATGTATTTAGTACTTGGGGCTTATAGTTATCTTTTTACTGGTGTTATTCAGCCTGCCCTGTTCATTAGAATGTAAGCTCCTGAGGGCAGTTGGAATGGTCTTTCAATTAATTGCTGCAGGTACACAATGGGTTCTAAGTCTAACTCCAGTCAAGTGTTTCAATGGTCAAAGTCACAACATGATTGGCTTATGCTTCTTACTCTCATTAACCTGTTTCGTCTCAGACTTTATGCTACCTGATAACATAGCAGCTGGGCACAAATACACTTGCTATCTTTTCATCACCTCTACACACACACACACACACACACACACACACACACCCATAGAGTGAATGGGGCATAATAAACAACATTTTGAGGGCTGAATACTCAGTTTCTTCTGGCTATCTTTCCTTTCCTTTCTCTTTCTGGGTCTTAGGGCATTTACCTGTCTTGCTTCCTCCTAGTTATGCCACCGAATGGAATTTTTGAGGAGATGGCTTGGGGACAGTCTCCTGACTTTTTTTTAAATGTAAGGTTTATAGGGCAATTTGAATTCTGATATGTCAGACTGTGGGAAGTAAACTCTAAGCTTGTAAGTAAGAAAAATCAGCATAAAAATGTGTTGGAACACTGTGGGACATTAAAGGAAAAATTGATTCCACATACAAAATGATACAGTTCCACTACAAAAATAAAAATTAAGAGATTGATTCTCTGGGGCAATAAGTCACCTGTTACCAATATATATTTACCCTACAGGATATCTTGACTCAACTCGTCTTATCTCCATGTCTGACCACACAGCAGAGAGTTTTCCTCCTTACCACCTACCGTGCTCCCTCGACCCCACCATGAGGAATAAAGATGTGAGATACTGGAGGAGTGAAAGCAAATATCAGAAATAGATCACGATAAAATAAATCATGTTAAACATTATTCTTTACACATTATCTTTTTACTTGCCTACTTCCTTCCTTCCTCTGCTATGCTGCTTTTCCTTTTTGACACGGAACTAATTTCACAGGATTGAAAACAACTCTTCTTAACAGAAGAGTTGGTACAGCTCCCGTTTTAGAGATACCCGGCAACTTGGACAGAGAGCAGCTCTTTTGCTGATATCAAACAACTCAGTCACAAAAGCCCAATAATCTGCTGTGCTTAGGCACTTTTGCAGAGAGCGTTTATTCTACCTCTGCTGTCTGTGCGCAGATGTCTCTTCCTCCCAATTCTAATCAATGTAAATTGGGTCAGATCTCCGCTGTGAATTACAAATTGGATCCGAAGTTGGAGGGTCACCATGCCTGCTACTCCACCTCCTTCCCACCACCATTAGATGGGAAGCTACACCAAAGATCTTTTCTAAATAAATCAGACTTTATTGTAAAACTCGGCCACTGACGAGACATAACCTCATTAGCATCGATTTTAAAATAAATTATTGAAAGTGGCTCGCCTGCTCTTTGCATTTGTAAAATAGGAGAATGTAAACGTATTTGTAATGATAAAAATGAAAACTAAAACTTGATTCCTTTATTCTTTCAGGCAACAGCACTTAATCTAGTCATGAAACAAAAATGGAAAAGGTAAAAATCTGTTCTATGAGATTCAATTCCAGACCAGATACTCTAATTTCCATTGTGCCTGTGGAGTCACCTAGAGAGAAAGCAGAATGCTGGCCATAGATTTTACATTTCATTCACCACCATTGCTAAGCTCTACAGTGATGGATATGAACAGCGAAGCTCCCATCCCCACATCTGTTCTATCTAATGTTGTACTTCCCAGGTGGCTAAAAGTGGGCTCGAGTCAAGAGGCCTAGCTATTGATGTGAGAGGCTGGGTGCTGTGGCCTTTGAAAGAGTGAGTAAGGGGGTCCCACCACATAGTGAAAGAAAGTGCCCTCCACAGCCAGGGGGGAAGGGTACGCCTCTAAGCCCCCTCCTGGCTTTAGAGGGCATGATATAAGCAGAGAAGCATACACTTCATCTCGGATCCTTCGATGAAATCAAACTGGTATGTTTCAGACTCCAAAGCCAAGATAACTGAGTAAAGGGCAATAGAAAAAAAAAAGTCTCTTTGCTCACAGAAGAGGATGGGTTAAACAGCCAAAATTCTCATTTTTATTCATCTATAAGGTGAGGCTTTAATTTTAATTTTAAAATATATTTTGAAAAATATATATTCTTTTAGGCTAAAGAGCTTTTGTACTTCTTTAGAAGAATATTATTAGGCATCTTAGCATTACAGCTACTGAAATACATATTCATTTAAGAAAGAATTAAAATTTATGTGCCAGCTCAACTTTAAACAGTAATAGATTCTAATGGTTCTGCTCCTAACAGGACATATGGGACCCTAACCTTACAGAGGTTTTAAACAAATCAACTTCCAAAGATTACTGTCTACTTATTACATTAAATGCTCTACTTGATTCCCAAATTTCTCATCTCAATTGGGAAAAGAGTTGAGGAAGATTCTGTTAATTGTGTGAATGTGTAAGAGAACCATGGGGCATCACAAATGAGCACCAGTATCCAGAGAGTTGATTTCAATCAACACTCTTGGCACAATGTCAGGGACGCTAATGAGAGGCTGAAAGGAACAGGACACTGACTCCACTTCAGAGGGACAGAGAGGAGTCAGCGTCCCATGACACCTGGCTCCTTTCTAAAGTGCCACTGTGACATCGGCTAAACCGGTACAGAGAGGATTACGTTAAAAAAAATGACTAGAACTGGAAAAGAGGGAGATTACTTCCCCCAAACAAAGCAAAGTGACAGAAGCTTAAAAAATGCCAACTGTATCAACGTGTAACCAGATGTCAAGGTGCTCTGGTGACAGGTGCAACAGAAAGATTTGAAGTGCAAAGGGAACATGCAGAAAAGTGGAAATAGAAACCATTCCCCAGCACATGCTATAAGTCTGTGGATGCTATAGCACCTATTCGGGCAATGTGGAAAATATGAGCAAGATGCTAATAATGCATTTAATTTTCTAGTGTGTATTTGGTAATCTCAACTGTTACCTTAAAAATATTTGCATACTATCTGTGTGGTGTGGTCTTGATGTATAAGATATTAACCTCACTTTGTGCTGACTGTAATACTTGGAATGCACCGCACTTAATTTTACAAATAATAATTGAGCACCTACTAATTGGGAGAGAAAGACCTGAACAAATTGCTGCGGTAAGGGCTAAAACAGAGCTCAGTTCCAGCTGAGTCACTGAGGAGACACATCCGAGCACAACGTGTAGGATTTCATCAGCTAAGACCCGGGGGATAGTCTAGCTAGAAGGAAGAGCGCGATTCTGGTTTTGCTTCTCTGGCCAAACAGCGTTGTGTGCTGCGGGCCCAGTGTGCTTGGGAGTGAGAGAGAAAAGGCCGAGGAGCTCGGAGGGAGCCTGATGGCGGCACTGACTCTTCTTCGACGTCCCCCAGGCAGCGTTGCTTTCCTATGATATTGGAATTTGCTTTTTTCATAAACTTTGTATTGTTGGTGTCTGCCTTTTTCTTTCCTTAGACCTCCTATGATCACCGTTTCCCCTTCCTGTGGGTCCTGACAACTGCAGAGGGGGAAAAATAATTCCAGAGAATGCTTGTTTTCATTTGAGTCAAATTTATAAAACCAAACCCAGTTATATGCTTTATTCTAAAGCAATCTGGTTTCTGGGTCTATAATAACCCTCTAGGGCAGTGTGGGCAGCATCAGAATGTGCACAGAAATTCCCAGGGAGGTCTCTTTCTCTTTCTGTTTGTTCTCCTGTAATCTCTCTAGAGGACACAGCCGGATTCTGTTGCCACTGCAGCTGCTGCAAGGCCCCAGTTACAGCTCTTCAATGGTCTCAGGTGCCTTGCTGGATTCCGGCCTTGAGGCCCCAGCCAAAGAGAAACCTGATCAAAGTATTCCTTTTATGGAATCTCGAATTATGAAACTGGGCCTGTGCTAGCCTGTAAAATAATTTTGGCGAAGGGTGAGAGAGGGCTCAGAAAAGCCTCCCATTTTTCATGTGTTGCTTTAGCATTTCTTTGTGGTAGTTCTCTGCAGTTTAATCTTCTGCAAATGAGATCTTAAAAATCGAGGGCCCCCATGTGCTCAACACGGATGTTCAGAAATCCCACCGGATACCAACCTTGAAACCATATGATCCAGGATGAACATTTCTGTGGTCTTGGATGAAAACCTCGAGTGCTCTGGTTTTCCCTCATGGGAAGGAGAATGCCCGCCATGTAGCAAATGCTAATTATCCCATGATTAATGTGAGGTAGTGCATTTAATTTGATAACCCATATGTTATTTTGATTAGGAAAAAGTATTTTTGTATTGACTTGGTATGTGTTACAGGCACTCTTCTCTCTACTAGGAAACCTACTGTTATTATATTCTGGAAGGGAGATCTCACTTACACGGCCTTCAACATAGAGATAATGAGGCTTGTGTAGGTCCTATCTCAAAGAGGAAGGAGACAGCACCATCAATGCTAAATATTCTCCACAAAGCACATTTACCTGTTGTAATGAAGCAAATGTGAGAGGCCCAAATCATCTGACGTTTGATAGGTATGCAATGTTAGCACAATCCAACGTTACTGTCGTCTGTCCCTCCACCCAGCACCTGTCCTCACAATAAAAATGGACCGGAGCAGAAGGTGTGCTCCACATTCCATCTGCTCAAGATTTTCCATTTCACCTGCTTCCTACATAGAGCTGAAAATGAGGGAGGAAACTGGACTGTCTCAGGTCTGGCTGGTGGAGGCAGGGAACTAGCTATCCCCCCAACTCTTCAAGGAAGTAACACTTCCTATTTAAACACCACCAAATTAGTAACAGCCAGCATTTACTGAGTGCTCACTGTATGCCAGAGCTCTACTCTAAGCACTTTGTAGACATTGGTTCTAGACTTCTCATGGCATCCCTCTATGATAGCTACTATTGTTATCCTCATTTCACAGGTGGGAAGATCACACAAAGAGAGGGCAAATAACTTGCTTAAGGCCTCACAGAGAGCAGGTGGCAGAGTAAGTCCATCCTGACTTATGGCCAGCACTTTGACCTGTAATACCATGGTGTCTCTCACATGCTGCTTCTTGGCAGGTGGTCTTGCGAGATGGTGGCAGAAGGGAGACAATGTTAGGGCCCTCACATTCCCTCTCAGTTCTTCCAGGACTGGTAGTGTGGCATGTGCAAAGCTAAGAGCAATTTCAGAAGCAACTAGCTGAGTGGAGTAAATGGGAAGTTGAGTCATGGAGACTCATGGCTGAAATAGTCCTATCACAATTAAATGCCAACACCTCCAGTGCAGTCTCTAAAAACCGTGATGGATAGGGGTTTGGGGGAAAAAAATCTGTTGGCTGGGCAAAGCACTATCCTGTGGAAACTTATAAGCAAGTTAGCTGCCATTTCCCTCACCTGCAGAGAGACCCTGGTTCTCCTACAGTGTGGCCTTTCTCACCTCCAGGGGCTAGTTGGTGTAAGCACAGGGTAAGTGGCTTTCCTCAAAAAAGCAGACCAGTCTCCATGCCCTTGGAGTCTACTCCAACAGCCAAACTGGTGTGACTTTTGGAGGAAGGCGCAGGTACGCTGGGTAGTGCCACAATGGCCAAGGGCAGGAGTTTAGAAAGTGGAAGGAAACATAGAGGTTAAGAAGTCAGTCATACATTCATTGACCCACCTGCGGTAAGGTGATGGTCCCAAAGTCAACTCATCCTATTTTCCGAGGCCTCTGTCCCTTTACTCTCTCTTTCCTTTTGCCTGTGTATCAGCCCCTACCTCTCTGGCTCCTCTGAGAAATAACAGGGTGCACGAAAGGCCCTTCTTTCCTCCCCAGAAGGCTGAGTGGTTCGGGGAGGTTTTCCCAGAGCGCTCTTCCACAGCTGTAACCTAAACTGGAGTGTCACCCAGATATTTCCCCAAGCCTGGGCAGGAGTGAGCGAAATGTGAGCTCGCTAGGAAGATTCTGGCCAAGTTGGGGGAGTACATCTCCTTTTAGGGAGCGTTGTGAATTAGATCCATTTCTGCACCCTGCTGTTGCAATGGAGCAGACTGTGAAAGGGAAGATTCTCAGAGGAGCTGTGTTTTAATGTAGCAATTTGATTCAATTTTCCACTCTATAAAATTACCCATCACTGCTCGTTGCTTTCTAACAGACACCTTCACTCTTAATTTAACAATCCTATCGAATTCTGCCAGGGAAATTGGAAAAATTTATCACCTGTGAAATTTTATTTTCCTTTGGTTGTATCTGTTTTTGTAAAACTTCATTAACGACGATGACTTGCTGAGGAAATTATCATTTTTTTTTTTTTTTAACTTCAGACACAAGAAATGGCTCGACCTCAACCAAGATATCATTTGCATAATAAAACACAACAAAAAGGCTGGGGAAGTTGGCCCTGGCAGAAGCTGGAGGTGCTAGGAGAAGAAGCAGGCTCTGCTTGGTGGTTGGGTGAAGTCCCAGGGAGGAGATGTGTGGCCACAGCCCCTCTCCTGGGCTCAGGAAGCAGTGACGTGGCTTCTCCCCCAGGGAAGAGAAGAAGGCAGCATTGTCAGGGTTGGACCCTCTTCTTAGGAAGCCTTAAAATACAAGTTGCTTACTCATGATACATGTTAGCAACCAGACCTGTCTTCAGAGGCCCCGAGCGTTCGATTCACCTTAGTTTCTAAGTTTATCTGAAATCGAAGTTTAAATGGCTATAAATTTAGGCTTAACTTGAATTTCTCAGCAGAGCACTGAATTCCTGGCAAATTTCCACAGGAGCAATCTTTCTGAATGGACTTGAAGATTCAGCATTCCTGTGGTCTAACTACCTCACAATTAAAAGGCGCAGGCTTCGGTTTTCTACAGTCTGACCCCCACTGTGCTCTGCACTGTTCAACAGCTGCTGTTATCCCCACAAGAAGTGGCTCTGTGGAAGCGGTGATGACTACACATTTTTTGAGACGCCAGTTGGAAGAGAAGAAATATGCACAGTGGACCTACCTGCTGTAATGGTGGGCAGAGGAAACGTGTTAGGGTTATTGGTAAGAGACACAATTTGATTCATGGTATATCTGAACTAGGTAACAATGAGTTGTGCTCCATCAGGGTTTTACTGGATTACTGCAAAGGTATGTCAGCATTTTTCTATATTCCTTTAGACTTTTAATATCCTTCGTCATTTTGAGGCAACTTTCCATTATTCTTACAATTACACAGAAAAGAAGTTGAAACTAGAGAGTTTTGGTGACCCACCCCCAAACTCACAGTAAACCAATATGAGTATGTTTGACTCTTTAACCTTGTTGACATATGTAATAAATTACTTCACATGGTACAGATGAAAGACTCTCCCTGATCAATTCATCTTGCTCCCAGAGCATGAGAGAGCTTCTGTACTAGGAATCATGGACGCTCCACTGAAGCTTTCTTACATTCTTTCCTTTAGAGATCTGGCTTCCTCTGGAGTTTTCAGAGTTATATTCTTCTACCAGGTCAAGGGTTCTGAAACCAGAGCAAGATAATTAAAAGATAAAGTTTCCCACCTGGTAAGACTTCGTAAATATCTTCTTCTTTCTCCTCTGCAGGCTGTGTTAGCCCCATACTCCCAGGCAAGATAACAGGTCTGCCTTGGGAGCCAGAATTTTGCGTGTCAAGACCATCGATATCATCATACATCTCTTCCTCCTCTGCCTCTTCTTCCTCCTCTTCATACGGAATGGTTAAGGAGCTCAGATCTGCCAGGGCAGAGGTGGGAATGAATCAAGACAGGGAGAAAAATAAAAGAATAAGGCAGGGAAGGAAAGGAGAAGGAGGAGGAGGGATGAGAATAAAACATGTCAAAAGAAAATGGAACACCAGGTTAAGTGCTGTTATTTCTAATGTGGGCCTTGGTGGCAGGAAATCTACAGAAAAGGCCAGACGAGCACTGCGTCAGGTTTAAACCATCAACATAAATCCTTCCTTGCAATAAAACTTGATCAGGATGAAGCATCCCTGAAAAGTATGGTGTGTGAATGAGTGCATGGGGTGAAGGGAAGAAAGTAGGCCAGAGGAGGAATGCCAGTATGCCACGCACTGCTCATCAAGTAGAAAACTGGAAGGGTGGGCGATGGCCTGTGGTTCTCCAGGGTGCGCAGGGCTGTGGGAACTGTGGTGGCTTCCGTAGGGTACTCGAGCTGTCAGGAGGAGCTCATCTCCCCCATGATCTCTTTGCAGAATTTCAGACAAGTTTGTTTGTAAAGAGAAAACTAGACAAAAGTGGAAGAAGAAGTGGGATATAGAAAAACATAACAGTAATAACAAGACCAAATGGAATGGCTTAGCGATGCGGTTACCATGTTCTTTTGCAACTGTACAGTTTGGCTGACCTTAAAGTGGGTCACCGCATAGAGGATGTTGAGCCATTACAGCACCGGGGAGCCCAGGGCAGGAGAGGGAGATTGGTTTTTTATTTTAATGGGGAACTGGGAAGGTTCATTCTCTGACGTGTAGTACAGAGTGCTCTCTGAAACCCTGCTGAGGGACCTCTGTAGGATGGGAGAATGCAGTCAGGGTACTCTGGGGAAGGAAAGGATGGAGCGACAACTAACGTTCATTTCAAAACACAATAAAGCTGTTTGGCTTGATTAGGCTTTTAATAAAGATTCTGCAACAATTTTCATCTGAATTCTGGTGCCACCTCATATGAGGAAGGGATCAAAGACACATCTGTGGCTGAAACCATATGTTATTATTTTGTTTGTTTTAAAATAAAATGGAATGAATAATTTCTTCAATGTGAGATTCTTAAAGTACCACAGGGTACAGCTCAATAAAGCTGCTTTGAGTTTTATTGAGGTTTACACACTTAGGGGTATATTACACGCATAAATCCAAGGCACCTAGATGAGAGTGTACCCTGTAGTCTCGCCATCAATGTTCATGTTTGCCTAGTTCCAGTCTATTATACGTGATGCTCTTGGTGGAGGCAATAGTTTGTTTTTGTGATAGCAAAGGCGTAAAATGAGTAAAATAGGCAATTCTTGTAATTAAAGCTCTGGTGCTTCCTTCTTTTTATCCACAATAAAATCTTATAGCAGAATAAAAAAATGGAGATGCAAAGGCGTGGTGTTTTTAGGTTGACGTGCTTCTCCCTAGGTTTTGGACCATGTACAAAGCTGGTGTTTCTGTCTTTCTGCAGAGGCAGGGTCCTGCCATGATGTATACCATCGTGAGGATCATCTGATGCCAAGTGACAGACTCAATGTTGGCTACTTCTACCTGCCAGGCCATTCCCAGACAATCTGTCACTGCTGTGCCTGCAGGCTGGCCAGCAGAGGGTACTCTAAGAGCAGTCATTTAACATCTTTAGGCAGGACTCTTCCCATCTTGAAGCCAGGAACATTTTATTGTGGCTTGGGAAATAGCAATTTGTTTTAAATGGCCAATGTTCTTGAAGGCTACCTAGATGAATTTAGATTTCTACTTTCTATTAATTCTAAAACAAGAAGATTTTGGACCTAAATCACATCTAGATGACTTAAAGTTTAATATTGTGAATGTCTTCTCCAGAATATAAGGGCTTAGGACACACTGAATTGAGCTGAGCTGGTTTTTAGAATCTCCTTTTCTATTCTAGTGATTATGAATATACAGACTTGTCTGTAGGTAGGCGGATGAGCTAGAATGATATCAGAGGTCATTTCCAGGTTGATGGTTTCTTTTCTTTCTGATTCATACATGGCACTATTTGTTGTTATAATATATGGGATGTGGTAAGGAAGACAGAAGGAAGAACAGGCAAAAAAAATACATATGGAAGCCTACAGATTGTATTTATGCCATATAACTTCAACTCAAAACTCACTCAAGTATTATTTCTATGATAATGATACTTACCCTTTAACAAGAAACTTATTTGATCCACCCAGTCTCTGGCTTCAGCTGGATTCGTAGCTGTAAACTAGAGAAAAATTAGTGAATTAATTTATCACCTTCACTAAAATTTCCGTGAATCCTACAGAGGGGTTCAAAGGAGAGAACTTGTGAGTCAAATTTCAGAGTCATGTTGAAAGCTCAGGATTCTCTTCCTGCTTAATATTTTGAAAAAAGACAAAAATACTCAAGTGATTTTTCCCTTCAACAATTCTGAATACCCATTGCTGATAGCTATTTGAGTGCAGAATTTATGTCCATGTGCATTCATTTGATTATCCATTCATTTATCAGACACTTATTTGCTAAAACTTTACAGAAAAAAAGAAAGAAAACCAAAATTTCTGACTTCAAAGAATAATGCATCAGTGATGAAGACAACATACACACTTGAAATAGGAACACTATAAAGTAGGTGTATTTGATAATGGCTGAATGTTGAGAGAAGATAGAGAGCACTTAATTGTTACCTAGAGTAAGGCGAGGAGTTTCACTGAATACTGTTCTGGTTGGAGTTTTAAAAGAGTTGGTGGAAACTGGTGGAGAGAGTTGGACAGTTTAGGTAGGAAGAACCATGTGCAAAAGATTTGGAATGAGACCATCATGTATGGGGAAGGTAGGCAGATCAACCTGACTGGAGAACAATAACCAATGAAGCTGGAGAGTTGAGAGTCAGAGAAAAATTGATGAAACTAGTTCAAGCTTCAAAAGTAGGCAGTAGGAAGCCACTGTAAATTTTAGCTAAAGGAGTGGGAGATTCAGTAGTTGTGAGTAGGAGGGATTGGAATAGGGAGAAACTGGAGACAGAAGATCAACTAGAAGGCTATTTAACTAATTCTCTGGGTGAAGTGAGAAGGACTTAACTATAGTAATGGCTGTGGGAATAAATAAGAAGGGAAAGAACCAAAGAGTATTATAGAGGAAGAATCTATAGACCATGATAATGACTTGGATTCAATGGGCCAAAGAAAAGAAGAAGTAAACAAACTCTACATTCTGATTCACAGGCCGGTCAGGCATCAATCCTTAGTAATTTTTTATTTTAAATGAATCAACTTGAAATGACTGTTTCTGAAAAACATTTTTATTATTTGGCCATTAGGACAAGATAAAGATATACGCTGTATAAGAAACCTATAATCCTGCTTAGTACTTATTAATAGACATTGCCATTCTTGATTTCTGAAGAACACATTTCTATAAAAAATGTCTAGGGAAGTGGATTTAGACTTGTCATATAAATTTTTATCTGTATGAGGCACCATCAGAACTGAATAACAAAAATAACTTAGAAACATCTCCAGTGTATACAACTGTATTATATTAATCTACAAAGGATTCTATAGAAAAGCTTAGTTTAAATTATATAATGAAGACCCAGGTCATTCAACAAAACAGAGTTAAGATATTATAGAAACATAAAAGGATGAATGTTGAGAGAAAGTTGAAGAGTAAAGGGTTACTTAAGTGGTTAATATTAACCTTAGCATGGTTTTCTCTTTTTCACAAGTTAGCTAAAGGTTTTCTAAATTGTTTTAGTAAAATTGTGATAAGATTAAAATTACCAACAAGCAGGAAACAATATGTATATACACAAATATATTTTTGTTGAAAATCAATATATTCCCATAGTCAGAAATTTTTTATTGCTTTAATTTTATAAAAGGTAATAAATGCATTGCATATTATATTATGTTATATCATATAAAATATATTAAAAATGAACACAGTGAAGAATAAATCTTTCTTATCCCCACTCAGGTCTGCTCCCTGAGTTATCACTGTTACTATTCAGTAATCATTGTCACCAATATCTTAGAAATCTTTCCGGAGATATGCAATGCATCTATACACAGAAAGATTATTTTAGATAGCGAGATGAATATGGGAAAATAAATTATTTTTCACTCGACAGTCAGATTTTTCTTTTTCTGGATTTCATGGAAGGAAGTGAAGATAATCAGTTGAAAAATAAAGGGAATGGGAATTAAAGCCATGAAATTAGAGGCTATGAATGAGGAATTGGATTGTGTGCTGCCGTAGGCAAGACTCTCACTTATGGAGTGAGGCTGAGAAGGGGAAGGACGAAGGGACGGAAGCCAAGCAAAGGTAGTGTCTAGGATGAGAGTGGTAGCAGAGAGGAGAAGTGAGGGCATGACATAGCAAAGGTGAGGACATGTCAAGGAAGAGGGTCTTAGTAGGAAATGAGCAGGTAACAAAGAAAGGATGGAAGCCGGCATAGCAAACACAGCCCACATGCAACACTAATGAGGATCACCATCGCCTCCGTTCATCCTACCTCATAGCTGCGCCTATCCTGGGAGGTCAGTTCAAAGCAGGATTCTTTCTTGGAATCTTTTCGCAGGTAGGGGGCCATCCGTACACTGTAGCCCTTAATGAGAAAGGTCCCTTTGGGCTGCTTGCCTGCAAGACAGGAAAGCTCCCTGTATCCCTAGAGAGACGCAAATGCCAAGGGAAGGCATCTTCTCTGGTATGTAAAATAAAAGCACAGAAACAGCTGTTACATCCCTGAGGAACCACAATAGTCAAGGAAAGGTTATTAGGGAAGCTTAAGAACAGGCTACGGTGACAGAGAGGCAGATATCACTGCCAAGCTAGGGAAATGCAACACGAAAGGTTATTTTGCCGAAAGAGTACAACAGAGACAGAGAATTTATTAGAATGTTAAGAGATCTATAATAACAGAAAGAAGGAATTATTACAGCAGGGAGAATGTGGCTGTAAACGTGAGGCTCTTGAAGGCTATTATAGAACTGAAACAGTATTATCAGGTCCAGCAGAGCTCACATTTGAGGGGAGGGACAACAGCTCAGGGGGCATTTTAAATTCCCAGGATCGCCTCCTATACCCTACGTAGCATTTGGGTTAGACTGCTCTCCCCCTCCTGCTGGTCAGGTGGGAATTTATGCTAGAGGGAGCACAATTAAAACTCAGTATTTTATCCTCCTTCCAAGAGGTCAGATTGGGACATAGCAGAGTACTGCTGAGTATCATCAGATGATGAAGAAGGAGATACAAGGCAAAGGACTCTAGAGAAGGAAAGGGGAGAGTACTCCACCTGTCACTCCCTTTTTTTAAAAAATAAAATATTACAAATAGGAAAAGAGGAGGGGTCCTCTTGCATGGTTCAGGCAGAACGTGTAGCAGACAGGCACCTCAGTGTCTGGGTGGTGCTTTGTGTCCTGTCCTATGTGGAATAAACTGCTTAATAAGTGCTTTTTGATGATGATGATGAGAAGGATGGCTGTGAGATGACAATATTAAAAGAAAAAAAAAAAGTTTCCGTCCTTACCTGGTTGAGCTAAAAGAAATACACAAATACTCTATACTTACTAAGAAAATGTCTCGGGCACAATAAGAAGTAACTGGCGAGAAGGGAGCCATGCGACAGTGCTTCTTGACACCAGAATCTTTTTTGTTAAGATATTTCTTCTTGTTCTAACTGGCCACTAAAATGCTTTGTTGTTTCTTTGGTCACCAGATTTTATTTCACTCTGACAGCAAAATGGTCAATAAAAGTCTCCTAGTCTCTCACTCTTGTTCTCCCTCTTTCACCTTGAGTGTAAAGGATTCTGAAAAGTGAACATGATACCTGGTTTTATATCCAGATATGCCAACCATTTATTTAAATGGAAGGGAAACGACGAACATTTTTACAAAGGCATAAGCGTTATATTTTAGTTTGAAAGTTTAAAATAATAAAATAACACCTGGCTGGCTTGTACACCTAGAATTCAGGCGAGAAATTATGGTTATTGGATTTGAGAGTGGGCGGGGGGTTGGGCAGGGACTTGTTACTCAGTTTTTTGAGCTATGCTGTTATCATTTCAAAGGAGGGCTTCACACTTTGCCCCTGATGGGAAAGGCTCTGAGGAATCTAAAATGGTGAACTCAAGATGAAGGTCAGTGATACCTGCTATAGGCAGAGAGGCAGGGTGAAGCCATTACCTCAAAGCCCGAGCGCAAATCTTAGGGATTCCAAATCACTTAGCTATGCTGTAGTTCCTTCTGCTACCTTAGTACCAAATGTGAGGCAACTGAGTCAATATCTGATTATTCCTGAGGCTAGATCCCCAGGCACTGGGAGAGGAATAAGTCTGGGAAAGAAGGAAGAAGAGGGAGAAACAGAAAATGAATGGAATGAAAAGAAAGGATTTGTTCTGGGTCATTGGCCTATGTACCAAGGCAGTAGAGCACAAGGAAAGCCCCCACAAAAATCAATGTTTTATTTTACTTTATCTCCTTCTTGCTTCGTATAATTACCCTTGGGGCGTTCTGTCCCTGTAGGAGGGTATCTCCTATTTGAAAGTTTGCATTCACCTACAATGTTAATTTTTAGCTTATATATATTTATAGCTGCGTCCAATTTGTGTATACATTTTCTCTTCTTTCTCATGAACTAAGCAACTGCGTTAGGCATGGATGGGAGTTCTTCTAGGGACAGCTCATGAGTGTTGTGTTTGATTGAATCAGTGGCGGCTGATTAAGAAGCTGCCTCTGGCCTGAATCAACACTTCATTGCTGCTGCCATCTGGCTGAAGGGTGTCTCTTGGGTACAGCAACCATTTGAGTCTCAACACTCCATGACTCTAAGGATGTCCACTGGGCTACTTCCCAAGAGTCAGCAGAATAAAGTTTGGAGCACGCTCTTAGAGAGTCTGGACTCAAGGGTTCTATTTCTGGGCCCTTGGTAAGCTGTTTAAATCTTTCTTGAAGTTAATGTGTTTTTTTTCTTCTTCAATTTTTAACTATAATATTAATGTCTATAAAAAGTTTGAGGGTTTTTTTTTTTTTAACAAAAAGAATGCCAAAGTGTTCAACCTTGATAATGTTATTAGTCATAATAAAAGATAACCCTTTGATAGGCTCACCACAGTACCCTAGTGTTGAAGGGAAAATAAATTCTAAATTGGCATCTGAGTTTTGGTAACAGGCAAGGTATTATTTACCCAAGCCTATTTCTTTCCCAAACAGGTCTCCTTGTGGGTGTTAGTTAAGGATTGCTATCTCGAGATCTAAGTGCTTAAGAATTTAAGAAGTGTTTGCATCCAGGAGTGAGATGCTGCTGTGCAAATGAAGAACACTTACTTTTCTCATTAGCATAGTAGTAGAAGAGGCCTCTGCTGACAACACACCATCGCTTCTGCCACTCTGATCCAAAGAAACTATGATCTAAATGGAACAGCAGTAAGGGACATAAATTCAGGTAACTACAATCACTGAAGGGTCTGTAAAATCCGACAACACACAGTCCAGTCCAGTGTGTTATTGTTTTACTTCCCAGGTTAATGGACTGTAAAGCCCTCCCTTCACTCCCACAGGTTATCCCATATTGACTCAGGGTCCAGAGGACTCACTCAGTTAAAGGTCCACGTTCTAAACAGGATTTGCCTGCTCTGACCTCTCACAGCTGTCGATCTTCCTTTATATCTTTCAGGTTCTAATCTCCTCCTGTACTTTTCAAATTCTTCATGATATCTTTATGTGGTGTCTTTTAGCAAACCAAGATGATGCTCTAGGCCACAGGCATAAGGCAGGCTTTCTTTGTACACGGCCAACTTGCCTGTTGAGTGTTAAACCTGGGACTCGGGCCCTAGTAGTTTCTATTCTAATCAAATGAATGATAGGTTAAGATTTGGGCCCCTCTGAAACTTGAAAGTGGCTGCTTCACATATGATATAAAAATTATCCTTTTGGAATCACAGTTTAATTCTTCATGGGAGCACACTGAGCGATGAGAGCAAGAATATCATTGATTCATTCAATGAGTATTTTTTAAACATCTGTTGTGTACCAGGTGAGTAAGGTGGAACCGGTCCTTTTCCTGATGAAGCTCACAATCTGCTGAAGACTTTGGGCCATCTCTCTCTCACAAACACCAGACTTTTCTTGCCTTCCTTTTGCCTTCCATCTACCTAGGACAGTATTGGGCCTAGAGAAGGCACTGCGATGTCAGCCCTCTTTTTCTTCATTTCCCTTCCTTTCTTGGAATGGTCTGAGATCTTATGGGGCTGATCAATACCTTTACTTTTCTTCTCCAAGTATCCTTGCTTGATGATGTTATCAAGCTCTTGAGCTCCTCTTGTGATGTCTTCCATTCCTAAAAAGAACAACAGCAAAATGTGTTGTTGAAACCTAACAGAATTTTCATTTATTTAGGCTACTTTCAATAATTTACATGAATGAAGGGGTACAGAAGGGCAATTACTTAAAGACAAACAAAATAAAACAAGTTATAGATGATTGGGGGGGCAGTAAATTTTCTTTCTAATTATATCGAATGCTAAAATCACTTAAAATTATCTAAACATGCATTAGTTTGTGCAAGGGGAGGTAGCCTAAATATGTACTGACTGGCAAGAAAAGAACTCCCAAGAATTAAGAATTTGCTGTGGATATAAGCTCCAAATTGGGTAATCCACATTGAGATAATCAAAAGTCAAATGAATAGCTACCAGCACGGACAAGCTTTAATGAGTGACAGAGTTCACCACGAACACAGTCACCTCAGAGGGAGCAATAAACACACACAGACACTTTTTTTTTTTTTTTAACAAACAGAAAGCCACCTTAATGAATATAAATTTTATTAACTGCCAAATCTTGGTTTTGTCCAAGTATGGGAAAGAATCTAAGAATGGTAGAAGCCTTTACAAAGAGAAGATCCTGGAACTGACACCAGTCTTTAATTGCGTGCTGCTAACATTTTTGGGTTTCAATTAGCCTTGTTAGGTAAGAATTTACTGAGAAGTCAAGATCCTAACCCATCTTCCACCATATAAGTTTATACTTATTTTAAGGAGGGAGGGGCAAAGGACAGAGACAAAGAGGAATTTACTCTTCAAAAAATAAAAAGAAACAGCTACAACAAAACTCCCAAAATTCTTTTAAAAATACAACTCTATATTTCTCAATTAGAAGAAATGGAAGGAGTGAGCTGGCATAATCCTGATATTTATTCTTTTTAATCCCCAAACTCAAATATCTTTTGGTTTGCTTAAAAAATTTAGAAAACAAACAAAATATAAACAAAATTAAGGCACAACCTATATAATATTTTGAGACTTTTTGGGTGGAATATTTTTTTTTCAATTACACAGTTGGTTTTTGAATATTTCCTACAATAACTTTTATTCAGTGGTGGCTACTTTGCTCAGTACTTTACATACTTTTTGTTTAAAAATAATCTTTTAAGGCAATTTAAAATGCAACTAAAATTACCTTTTGCTTCTAAGAGAACTGTTCCGAGCTTAGTTTTATTTATTTACTTTTAACATTTGTTTAGCATTTATTATGTAACATTGTGTTACATAATAAACAAGCTTAGTTTTAAACATGTATCTCAGAAGAGCTTCTCTTTTTCTAATTTTTTTTAGCCTGTCTACGCACCTGATCCTTTATCCTATTTGTCCTTATTGTCAACTTCCTTGTTCATGGCCTATTTTCATTTGTGTGTTTTACAGTTAGCAAACTGGCTGCTATAAATCCTCCCAGATGGGTCTCAGGGTGCACGCATGAGATGAACAGCAGCAAAGGAAAGTTCGTTTGTCTAGGATTTTTTCATTTTTTCCACCCCTCTGAAAATTCTAATATCTCTTTGACACTGCTCTCAAGGAAAACAGAAACAGATCCTATTGAGGGTGTCGGGGTGAGGACCCAGTACAGTTGAGAAGGCCCCTGATGCAGAGTCCATCCTCTCTGCAGTGCTATTACAAATTTGCTTCTAGAGGCCAAAAAATTCAATGAGAGAAACAGGACCCCCTAAGCTTGGAGTTTCCATCTCTTTATCCCACAGGTTTTTTTTTTTTCCCCCCTTTTTCCTTTTTTAAGGTCTTGTTAAATTTTAGAGACACAGCTACTTGTTAAAGATGCCCAGAGTCTGAATCATAAAAGACATGTTAAACGTTCTATTAGAATTCAAACCTTTTTTAATGCAAATCTAAATGCCATTTTATGGAACATGTATAATTATGAAAATGGGAAGGCATTGCCTTGTGTGTGGGGAGAGTCTGTGAGTATGAATATTACATTAATGTGCCCACACCAGCTCACTGATCCTGCTGGCAGGAGCATAAAAAATGCTTGAGTGAAACTTTTATTTAGATGTTAAGACTCCAGGCCCCAGCGGGGTGACAGAGACAGTCCCTGCGAGTTGCCATCAGAGAGAGAGCTTGAATTGAATTACCCAGGGGGGAAGGAAGTAGTGATGAGCGCTGCTTCGCTTATTTAATTTCATTTACTTTCAGTACATTATCAGCATGACGCTTTTCTCTCCCCGCCAACCCGAAAACCCAGGAATGCTACCACCAAGAAAACAAAGACATCATGCAGCAGAGACGCTTGAACTTTGAGTCACTAATTCTAGGGGATTAAGGACAGCACCATCGCCCCCTTCTCCCTCTAAAGTCACACGTGGTTTTCTGAAACTGGGCACTGAATGCTAAATTTCCTTTCTTGGTCATTTACCAACGAGATTCTGAAGAGTAGTATACCTGGAAATACGGTGTTTTATATGCTGTGTTTTTGTAAGATGTGTTATATCGCTTTCTTATTAGAGGTAATCTGTATTGATAAACTCTGTGGCCTGGTTTCTCTTGTGAGCAGTGGATTATAGGTGAAGTCTGAAATGGCTACGGAAAAAAATTAGGAAATCGAATCAAATCAATCTCTACTCTACTGATTATCTTGTATGCGCAAGGCACTGTGTGGTGAGTACAATAATGCGATTATTCTCAATGTAAAGTTTACCCTGAGCTCGTCAGCTTCATAATCTGTCAGATGCATCTGTCAAGATGGGACGCTATTGTGGCAATCAAGCCATCTTTTCTTTCAGTGTCAGCTCAGGGTCCTATTGATCAAGAACTGGCAGTTGTGAAGATGCAGCCGTTAGCCACAGTCCTGGGGTGATGAGGCAGGAGGAGTCTCGTATGCCTGAATTCACACCTACTGGCCAAAGAACAGATCTGCAGAGGTATTTAACACATAATAGAAGTATGTAAATGCTTTGCAAGATAATAATAAAAATAGGAAGAAGCCACAAACAATTGCTATTTTAAGGCAAAGACATTTCTATTTAATTCTTTAAAAAGTCAAGACTTTTTGTCCATTACCTGAAAAAAGATATCACCACTTTAATGAAAAAAAAATAAAAATGACTTAGGTTTATTGGGAATAAATGACCCTCTTGGATAAACCTAAGGGTGTATCACATTATATCAGTACAAAACAATTACATTAGTGTCATAATCTCTCTCTACCACTACACTTAACTAAATCTCTCAGAACAGCCTGTATAAAGAAAAGATTCACTTAGTTGAAGGATGTGGGGCCATAAAGATAAGATCAACAGAGAAGTGTGTTACTCAGAAGTGATGGCCACCCAACTTCCATGGCAGATGAAGATAAAAGAAATTCTCAGACATCCTTCTCTCCTCATCCAGATTCCTTTAAACCTCGTATCCCACCCATCATCAACTCTGCAATAAAAAACGACAGAGCAGGATTCCATCTCTCAGCGCTAAACATGACTCCTCAGTCAGCTTCGCACGGCAACAACAATGGGGACCCTTTGGAGTGTGATACATTTCCATAAAGCAGTCAATAAAAAAGACACGGGAGCTTATGTGAGTCACGGCCTATTTAATCAGCTGCGTTCTAGCCCACCGAGAAAAGAGAATTGGAGAAATCAGTTGGCAACACTGCAGCGCAAGGCTAATGGCACAAGAGGCCACACGCCTTCCACTGAGAAAGGCTGCAGTTCCTGCAGAACAAACCAGGTGCTTGAGAACTTTCATTACAGGCGGCTGGCTTGGTTTCTTGCTAACTCAACCTGAAATGAAAATCTGTAATTAAAAAAAAAAAATCTTTTATCCAAGTCTTTTCCCCCTTAAATTGTGGACTTCTCCCACCCTCCCCTTTCCTTTTAATTCAAGGGTTTTTTTTTTTGTTTTTGTGTTTTGTTTTTCACTTGTTTGAAACAGGGACCAAACCAACTCCAGCCTAGAGACTGAGAGCTACCAGGGGTGAATTTTAGGAAGGGCGAAGTTTACTGGGTTCCTTTGTTACAGTACCGCTGATAAAAGACCCTGGGAGTTGGGTAGATGAGGTTGGAGAAAACCTAATATTTGAAGCCTGAGAACGGTCTCGTTCCATCTTCAATTTCAATTCACTTGCAGACCACCGGTGTGTGTGCACTGCAGACAAGTGACGAAAACACACTTCACGATGTTTCAAAGGAACAGAAAGGGGAAGAGGCTATTGCAAATGGGGTGTGTGGGCCGTATTCTCCTGTCTGGTGGTCGTTGATCCCAAATCTGTTCATTAAACCCCCTCTCTCTCCTTTGAAATTGATTTCTGTGGCTTTCTTTCATATGTTCATTACTGTTTTTCCTCAGCTTCTTGCATTTCTGGATTACTTTTAGCTTTTTTCTCAATTTTCTGGAACCAGTCAATCAATGACAGTCAGTTTGAGGTATCTGGCAAGCAGTGTTCTCCTTCTGAGCATGATGCTAACAGGGAAGTTGGTTTCAATGACTATTCCTCTATTAGTCCCTTGGGACAGGCTTATGTAAGTCTTTAACTTTCGTGGTTCCATTTGATATTCGCCTAAGTTTACACTTATTCCTCACACTTTTTTGGTCATTTTGCTTCACTTCTTAAGGAATGTAGACCAACACATGTAAGGTAAAAAAATTCTAAATGATTAATAACAGACTTAAGATCTAAAAGTTTCAAAGATACAGAAGCCACTCAAACAGCTTTAATTTCATGGAGGAATAAATCGAATAGCAGATGAAAGGGAGTGAACGCAATAATAAGTTCTTCAACAAACTGTCACACAAGAAGGTAGGAAACAAAACAAGTACGATTAGAACTAGATAGACTAAAAGGCATCAGAAAATGGTAAAAATAACACATTCGTAGTTGGCAAACGAACACAGGAGACAACATTCAGGAGATCGTGGTGGACTCTTGTTGCCCTCCCGATTTTTAAAGGCCTTTGAAAAAATCTGTTAATCCAGATAACAGACCAGTGTAAAAAATCTGTGGAAGGAATCTTGTACTGAGAATAAAGAAAATTTGTGATAGATTCTAGTCCAGTAGTACTGAGAAAAGAGCAGAATTGATGAACAAAATAATTAAAATGAATATATTTTAATAAAAATGGTAAAAAATAAAGAACAGTTGTTTTTTTTTTTTAACATTTTATCAAGCATTTTTACATCTCATTGGAATTCCATATAGTCCTATACGGTATTATTATCAGCTTCACATTACAGACTAGGAAACTGAAGTTTAGTGAAATTATGGGACTAGCTGAAGCTGCTCAGCTGGAAAAGCCCAAGCACCTTCTACCATCCCAAGCTTCATTTGAGAAAACACACTTAGAAGTGGCTGAGGCAAGATAGGGTCTTTCTGCTTCACTCTCCCACAGAAGAGACCCCACTTAAATATGGAAAAAGAAACAGACATGACGAATAGTTATTCTAATACTTGACGTCAAAAGTACTTTAAGAGCTTATATTTTTTCCTTACTTTTCAATGAACTGGCTGACTAACCTATGGAACTGCTTTTTAGAGCAGGTCTGTGTGAAATCCAAGAGGTAAACGAATACACAGAGCAAAATAAAAGAAACTATGCAATAAAAGGATATACAGGGTAAAGGAGATAGAAGAGAAAACAACCTGGAGTTCTCAAAAAATGCCGCTTGGTCACCCAGGTTTGTAAGACCTCTTCTGACACGAGAGTGATATCTAGAAAAAGGAAGCCCTGTTCTAGTGGAGGGTTCATGAAGCGATCTTGGACAAGATTTGTTTCCTCTTTAAGGAAAAAGCTTCGGTTTAAAAAGAGAAGAATTGTAAGACAAATATCCAAATTGGTTTCTTTTCATAAAACGTTCCTTTAATAATGCCAGGCTACAAGGTAACATACAGAAACCATGAATATTCATGGAGAATGAAGAACCTCTTGCTCCTACGAAAAGACACTGTACTAATTGCCTAAGAGGCTTGTGGTGTTAGGGGATTCTCCTCTTCCATATTTTCACTTTCAGTAGGGTTTTACTTATAAGAATTTAAAGTATTAGGAAAAAGCCCTTCCAATGCCAAGTATAACACCCCATTTCTAGCATCTAAATAAATGGCAATAATCATCAGCGTCTGAGATGTAAATAGTTCATCTTAAAGAAGGACTCATTCAATATAATAATCATTGATTCTCAATTATGATATCATGACACATTGGTGTCTTTTGATCAGTTAAAGGTGTTGATCTAAAGGGTAAAGATGTTGAATAATTCATTTTTAGAATAAGAACAGATTCGAGGTTTTTCTTAATACCATTCATTTGCTTTCTGATATGCTTTCTTAAGGGAAAAAGTCAATTAAAGTAACATACAGCTTATATTATTTATGCTACAGTCCATGGTGACTAATCATATCTGATGTACTATTATTATTGTAGCGATCAATATTTTCTTGGAAAAAAAAGCTGTGTTTCCTCAAAACTGTGGGTGTTCCATGGAAGTGGGTCGAGCATATGAATGTCAGTGGACATGTGTTATGGTGGGAAAAAGGCTGAGAATTCATGTCATCTCCATATAAATTCTTTAAACTCAGGAAGCCTCTTGTGTCTTTTGACTTTATTAATTACACCTATCTGTAACCCAGCACCCTCAGTTTTATTTTTATCCTAGAAATCCATCCTTAATATAGAACCTCAAAGATCCAAACCACCTGAAGTCTCGTTAGCAGCCAAACCACAGTAAATGGCAACAGTAAAAGTGAGAATCCTGATGCAAATATGGGCAGCAAGGCTTCAAATAGTCTTATGATTCTGAAGAGGAGGAGGGGAGAATTTAAAATGCCAAACTGTCTTTTTGCTCACCTTGAAGGATCACTGTGTTCATCTTAAGGCAGATCACCATTATACGTGCGTCACTTGAGAGCATATCTTTAAAAATGGATGACAAAATAGCATTTTCAAATCTGTCTATTTACTACTACTCTGCTGGACCCTGATGAGAACATGGAGAACAGGAAAGAAAAAAAAAGAGCCTTGCCTGGGTTTCAAATCACATTTTAACTGGTTTACCTTCTATCTTTCTACCATACTGTGGTCAGAAATCATCTTTCTGAAACATGGATGTGGTCATATCATATTCCTGCTTAAAGCCTTTAATGGTTCTCCATTACTTATAGGGTGAAACTCAAACTGTCCAGCATAGAAAAACTTTAAATAGTTGGTCTCACTCTACCTCCCAGTTTCATTTCCTCTCAACCCACATACCTCCCAATACTCCAGCTACTGTAAGTAACAGACTTCGCCTTCTGGAACGTGTCATATACCTCATGTTGCAGGCTTTCTGCTCATCTGTTTTTCCTGTTTGACAATTCCTCTCTATCTCCATTTTCTGAGTATGGAGTCCTCCTTCAAGGACCAATTCAAATGTCATATCTTCTCTGACTCTTTCTCTGTTTTCCCCATGTAGAATTATGTACTCTATCTTCTGTGCTCTAATATCATTTTCTATAGGGCATTGTTATAGCACAGTCTTATTCCCAGAGATCCTAAACCTATCCCCAATGTGCTCCATTCTCATCTCTTTGCTTAGGTTTATAAAAGACCATAATCACTATGTAAGGCTGCTAAAAGACTTGAACAAGGAAATAGAAAAAGGGTTATTCCTGGGAAAATAAATGTAGCTGTGGGTCTGGGTATGAGGCAGTAGGGAGGACAGCCTAGAAATGGAAAGGAAGGTAAAAATAGATCTTGCCTTCAAAGGAAGCGACATGGCACCAAGAAAGAAAGTAAGTGAACAAAACATCATAGTACCTGGACTGAAATGGGAGAACAGAGAAGACTCCAACGCAGCTGTGCACCTAGGGGGATGGGCCAGTGTTTGCGCCACAACCGCCTAGGTAAGGAGACTAAGAATTAGACTGAGAAGGAATTGGAACATGTGAGGATCTGAGACCCATCACGGAGGAGGGCCGTACTTTAAGTCATTGTCGAACTGATGTGGGATTAAGAAGAATTCTTCCCTAAAATTTACACAGTAAACTTTCAGGAGTTTGGTGCTAATTATTTAATTTCTTAAAGCCTAAAGAAGAGCTGCCACTGGGAAATATGGTCCCTTTCACAGAGGGCAGTGCAATTCATTATTTGTCTACCTGCTTCTCGTCATATCTCCAAAGGCCTAGTATACACAGTAGGTGCCCGATAAGTGTTTGTTAAACTGAACTGAAACCATTTCCAGCCTAATGGGACTTGTGATCTAAGAAGGCAATATGGGAGTGAATATTTGTTAAATAAATCATTTTCAACCAAGCCGCACACAGTAATTTTTGTTCTGCTGTATATTCACTATTTAAATCTTAAGGTTGATAATATGAAATTTAAAAAGAGAAAGAAAGGAAGCTTTCACCCAGAGAGCAAGGAGGAAGTAGGGAGTGCAGAGGTCGGGATGGATAACAGTACTAAGAATGATGGGAAGAGGGGCAAAGAAGATTTGGGGGAAAATTTTAGGAAAAAAATACCATGAGTTTCAACTGGAGAGAACTAAATTTCTGAGCCAATTTCACAGCTTCATTGAGACACCAATTCTATTCACCTCAGACTTTTATCTATCTTCAGGAAAGCATCAAAGGATGGGGTTCAGAGGAAGCCATAAATAGACAAAAGACAGCCAAACTCTGACAACTCACATGGATAACTGAATACTCTTCGGAAAATAGCTACTGATAGCAACGTCTGAGCTACAGACCTTGAGTGGCTGAGAACTTGGCCTCTTATAATGTTCCCCCAGTGTTGATCTTTTATGTCCCTGAAAAATGGTATTTTTCTCTTTGAACTTCCAAAGGTACATTAATTTGCATTCTATACACAAACATCCTGTGTGTGAGCACTTAATAGTGTTGACAGTCAAGACTACACGTGGATTAGTGTACTAGAATCCTGGAGTCTCTATTTTAGTTACTCTCCAAATCAAAAGATTTCAAGGAGGAAGAGAATGATAATTTTGCCTCCTCTGTGTCCCTCTAGTAAAAGACATTCGGATATCATCAGAGCACTGCACTGAAAAAACATTTAAAGCAAACAAAGCAGAAAATAAAAAAGAAGAGACTCGGGAACTAATTATCATGATTCTCTGGGGGTATTTCAGGGTGGGTGATCTAATGAGAACTCTCATACCCCATCAGGAAGAACCTGATGGGAATGCAATGATCTTAGCAATGTGGCTTTGACCTGGTATGTATCATCCAGTGGACAAAAGGCTACTCCCAAAACCAGACCTCACTCCCATCCAGCTCCCTGGGTGTTTCTGTGTAGCAGTATGGGACAGGAGACAGAAAGATGATGGCTGTGATAAGGAACACTTAGGGCAAAAATCACTTCCTTTTAAGTTATACATTTGAGTTTAAAATCTTTCTTGATTCTTGTTTCATCTGACAAAACTCAAGCAAGTTTAAAGTTGCAAGGAAAAAAAATTAGGGGGAAAATGAGGGTGATGTTTCTCTACCCAAAAGTTTCCAACCAAATCAAGTCTGTAATTGCAAAATAAAAACACTAAATCTCAATATCTATTTGCACAGCTCATTAACTAAGGGCTCACACTCAGCAAATGGGAAAAAAAAAGAAAAAGAAAAAAAAGAGACTTCACCAAATATATTTGGAAAGTTACCGTTGAGACTATCCTTCCCTAGGATGTGAACTAGGGTCACATTCTGCTAGGCTGCTGTCAGATGCTTCTGTCTGTCTGTCTGTCTGTCTTTATTGCTTATTTAGAAAGCAGCAAATCGGGATGAGCCAAAGTATCTTTTGTCAGACCATGCTGGAGAGAGAGAGAACACTCTTTTCCCCACTGAGCATTATGAACATCATGGCAGGCACGCGACCTGCTCTGGCTGCTGGGGCAACAATGATTTACAATGTGAAAAGGGAAAACCTAAATCACCAAGTAATGAAAACATTAAAGTTAATGCATCACAAGTGAGGAATTTATTACCATTAACTCCAATAAACAGTTATAAAACACTCGTCCTTTCCTGTCCATGAACAGGGACACAGACACTGGACTTCATTAAGCTCAACTTTCTTTTCCTCTTCACTAGACCAGTCATGTGTGTTTGAACCAACCACCATTTATTGTTAAGTGGACTGGTTCATTTTCCAGGACCGCAGAAAGCTGAAGGCACATCCATTTTGCTTCACGGTGCTTGGTACAGACGGATGAAATAGCAAAGTTTGGAAGGCATGCAGCTCGGTATTTCTATATAAGTTTATTTAAAAGTCCCTAGAATGTATGTCTGATAAAAGCAGAGTAGCTCTTAAAAAAACCTTCTCAAACAGGTATATAAGTAACAAAGCCTGACAAGGAGGGTGGCATACTGGATGCCAAGGCAAGTCAGGTATGTTTAGCTGAAAAATTTTCCCCTTGTTATTGTTTGGGATAGCACCTTAGAAGTCTGAGATGGAAACCCATTTCCTTCTAACATTTTTCTCTGTCACAGGGGCATACCAGTTTATTACCTTAAGGTTGTTCATGGACAAAAGAGGCTGTACATATTGCATGGCTAAGGTAGATTGGTTCTGGATTCATTTGTTTTAGAGGAAAAAAAGAACTAAAGTGTTTTTGGAAAGCCAACTCTAATTGTGGAACTGCCTGGGTGTGACAAAGCAGACAGGAGAGGCAGCATGATATTCAGGCTTCCCTAGCCAAATAGTTACAATAGTAACAATGATAACAGTAATATTTAACATTTGGATAGCACTTTATTTAATGTTTATAAAATGCTTTCCTTTAAGGCACCTCCTTGATTCTGATATAGACAGAGGGGTCTCAACAATCCAGCCTTCGGAAGTTGAAACAGGCTCAGAGAGGATAAGTGACTTTCTCACATAGCCAAAAAGAAGATTCAGGACATAAACTCAGGGTTTGTCAAAGCTCCAAATCCAGTATGGTTTGGGCTACACCATGCTATACAAACATTTTACATAATGAATAATGTTATAGTCATAATGTAAAGTCAAGATAAAAAATGTTTTAATTCTAGGTTTCCCAGCCCAAATTTCATGGTTCTTAGTACCAGTATTGCCAGACGGGGCCTGGGAGTTGTCCAAGATGTCAACCCTGAAGTGTGATCTGATCTTTGGCATCGCTAGAGAAAAGGTAGGGACCTACGTGAGTGATCCTCCTGTCTGAGGTTCACTCATGGGCCAAACTCCGTGGAACGTAGGAATAGGGCCTGGAGGGCCTCTGATGTGGAGTCTGAGCTGCACATCTTACCTTACCAAAGCAAAGATTTCCATAAGTAAGACTAATGGCTCAAAAGTAGTGTAATTTAAGAAGGTAGTAATACTTGTCAAGGAAATTCTTCTAAATACTATTTCATCACTTATTTTGCCATTTACATAAGGTACCCTAATAAAGAACTCTTAGATAGAGATGTTACAGGGCTCTTCAGCGGTGATGAAGCAAAGGACCCTGCCACTCATTCTGCAGATGGGGAAACCAAAGCACAGCCGGCTAGACTATGTGTCTCACTCAATTATGTCATTATGTGACTCACTCGATGATGTTATTATGTAACATCACCCAAGGTAATGTGATTGATCAGTGGCAGAGTTGAGAAGAGAAACAGTTTTCTGACTCCAGTTTGGCATCATATCACTCTTTTACTCCCATAGCTAGGTAACGATCTTTCTCTAACCCTGGCACAAGGAGTTTAATTAATGTGGGGAAACTGAATCAGCGGAGTCCCAAACTTGGGACACATAGTCCAGGGCAGAGTGAGAAGCACCCTGGAACAGGTGAATTAGGTAATGGTCTATGTCCTGAACACTGAGGCCCCTAGTCTCCTTTTTCTGCTCGGTTACAAGAACCCTGGTAGCTGTGTAGAATGGCACCACCAGGAGATTCATGGATCCTTCTCTGGAAAAAATTAATGACCTCAGAGAAAAGACCAACAGAGTCTGCTGTTTGAGAGACCCCATGGGAAATGGCTGGGTGCCCCCAGCACTTTCAAGTTTAGGCTTTCTAAAGTGAAGCCCATGAGTTGACATATATGCCACCCCGGCACACAGAAATTTCAATCTGCATTTTAGTGCCTCACTTTTAAATATAAGCAGGGCCTAAGGATCAGCAGACATTTGCAGAAAAACCTCCAAATGAAAGACAAAGACCAAAAGGAACTCAGAGGAAGCAGAGTTAATTTAGGGAGCAGAAAAAAAAAATTAAAACCAACCAACCAACCAACCAAACAAATAAGCCAACATTAATATTCCTAGAAAAATGAGAAGATATCGCATCCATGAAATAGTATGCTTAAAAACAGAACAATCAGAGAACAAGAAAGGATGTTCAAAAATTGAATGGTGGCCAAAATAAAAAACAAAATCAAAAGATTAGTTGGAAGACATAATTGAGGAAATCTTAAGAAATAGGGCAAGAAG